CTCTGTGCCATGCCAGGTGCAGGGTCTGCTGGCTGGGTGCTGGCAGGCTTGCACCTGGCACGGGCACCGTAGCCAGCCCGTGCTCCTTTAAGGGCTCCGGGGCCGGGAGGGGGGCAATAGAGTTTCCCTGGTGTTGGCCAGAGTAGCCACCAGGGAAAGCTGGGGAGGGCTAGCCTCCCACTAGTTCGAATTAAGGGGCTATACAGCACTTAATTCGAACTAGTAAGTTCGAACTAGGCTTAGTCCTCGTACAATGATGTTTACCTAGTTCGAACTAAGTGCTCCGCTAGTTCGAATTAAGTTCAAACTAGCGGAGCGCTAGTGTAGCGCCTAGCAAAGTTAATTCGAACTAACGTCCGTTAGTTCGAATTAACTTTGTAGTGTAGACATACCCTCAGAGAGTAGTTATTAATGCTTCTCAATCCTGCTGGAAAGTCACAACACGTGGGTTCCGCACGGGTCTGTTTGGAGACCAGTTCTTTTCAATATGTTCACTGACGATTTAGATACCGGCATAGTTGCAGATGATCCCAAGCTGGGAGGGGTGGCAAATGCTTTGGAGGACAGGCTCAAAATGGTCTGAGGTCAATAGGACGAAGTTTAACAAGGACAAATAGAAAATGCTCCTCTTAGGAAGGAACAATCCGTTTCACACACACAGAATGGGAAGCGACTGTCCAGAAAAGAGTCCTGCAGAAAGGGATCTTGGAGTCACAGGGGGTGTGTTGTACCTAGACTTTAGTAAGGCTTTTGATATGGTCTCACATGACTTTCTTATCATGGTGCCCATCAACTCTGCCCCATTGCTGTATTTGACTCAGCCCTGGGACACACTGCATTGTGCTGCCAGCGCCCATTTATCCTGCCTAACGCCGCTGGGTTACCCCACCCCTGGGCTCCCACCCCACACTCTGCCAGTGCCCATATATCCTGCCCCGCACATACCTGTGTTATCCCAGCTCTGAGCTCCCACCCCCCAGATCTCCTAGTGCCCATTTATCCTGCCCCCCACACACTTGTGTTACCCCAGTCCTGGGCTCCCACCCGAAAGCATCAGGTATTGTTCCTGCCCCTGACACTGTGTGTGGGGCTGTCTGGGACAGAGCTCTCCTGCTTCTTCTTGACCGCAGTGTCCCACTCTTTACCACAGCCAGGAAATCCCATTGCAGTTGTAATCTAGAAAACAACCTAGACGATTGCGAGGCTGGTACAACCTCCTGTGGTGTGACGGAGGCAGTGAGTGTTGCTTGGCTGCCGTTCCAGGCCGGGAGGCTCTTCCTCTAGGGATTATTCCCAGCAATTTCCTGCGGGGACTCACTCCCAGAAGCTGGGGAAGGAAATAAAAGCTCCGCTGTTCCCTTCAGCCGATCCAGTGTCTCCAGCTAGTGGAGGGAGCTGCCATTCTCGAACCTGGGAGTCGATACATGAATGACCGAAGCTCCCAGCCCTTCTCCCTCTTAAGGTGTTTGTGTTTTGCCCCAATCTGCAAATGGGGAGGGAGGGGAATGGTAATTATGGATTTGCTTAATTAATTTCAATTTTCTATACATGGCAAAGAATCTTAGATGTGAATGCAGGCGTAACTCACAGACTAAAACACACATCTGTCTGCCTGTCTGTCTATCCCCATACATTCCGTCTATCTACCTATCTATCCCCATGCTCTCTCTCTCTCTCTCTCTCTCTCTATCTATATCTCCCCATACTGCCAATCTATCTCTGTTCCCATCACACCCCCTCTATTCCTCCGTCTATCCAATCCAGTATGTCTTGCACGTGGCTATGAATAATGTTGGCTGTGTGGGCTCAGTGGCATATATTCTCACCAGTGTCTCCAAGAACTTATTGCTGGTTTCTTTTAGCTGAACGGACCTTCACCCTCTAACCATGTAATTGATGTTTCCTTACTTGTTCTTCTGCCCATAAAGAAGAGTTCAGCTGCCTCGAAGAGCTCTGAAAATACCATGCAAATACTAGTGACAAGAATCTACGCAGACCTTATTGCTAGTGGTAAGTACATTTCTCCATTTACGGAAGGAGTTGGTCCACATGTCACCCAACCAATGATGAAGTAAATCAAAACCCCTACTTAAAAGCCTTTTCAACAATATTGATGTTTTCCATGTGAGAATGTTGCTGTGGATGGCAGTTTTCAATTATCCCTTGGATTTCGGTTTTTACTCTTCTGAACCCACAGTAGGGTTTTCACTATTTCAACCTTTCACATCCACTCCGGTTGGAACCAATTATTGGCCCATTAGAATTTCCCCAACCAGCCCTGCGTTTCCCGAGGAACGTCCTCGCAAACGCCAATCAAGGTTCCTCAAAGTAGTTTGTAAGAGAAGGAGAAAAATTCCCACCTCATTTCCCGGTCTGAGTATTTGGAGAACATCAGCCCCATTTGTTTAAAATTGTTCTATGTAGTGCACATTGCGTAGTGAAGCATGAAAGTGTGCTTCAGTTTCAGTCACTACCACTGTCCTGATCAGGTGGTCGATCATATTTCCCTACCTCTATATTCTTTTTATTGGAACATGAAATTAGTACCCATAGAGATTCTATGAAACATTTTGGCTCCTTTAAGATTTTAATTCATTTGATTCTACATTTTCATTCACGTATAGTGCCCGTCCCCCACCAGCCCAATCAGTTTTGTCCTTGTGGGTCCTATTGATTGTCCTCATTCCACCAAATTTCCGTGATGCCTAATGTATCAATATCCTCCTTTAAAACAAGGCGCTCTCGTTCATCCCTCTTATTATTTAGACGTCCTGCGTTTGTGTATCAGTACTTTAAAAAGGTGTCACTATTCAGGGGTCTGCCGTTACCTGATGTTATTGGATGGGACTCTTTCCTTTGACTGTTTCTCAGATGATGTTACCCATGTTCTATCATATTCCATCCTCCCCTCTTTAGTAGGACATAGAGAATCTCTATTAATAGACCCTGCCCTCAGGGTCGAATTCATGTTCTTCTTTGCACTTGTTGGCTTTCCTACTGCTCTAAGTATAAAAACTGTTCTACGATCTTTTTGATTTTATATGCCAGCAATCACGTTCCATTTGGGTTTAGGTGGAGCCCATTCTTCCTCGATAGCTTCCCCCTTTCTCAAAAATTTCCTCATCTCTTAATTAACCCCTCGAGTGCACCTCATCATTTCATCCGTGTATTGAGGCCCTGCTGTTCTGCTTGCCCACCTGGCCTGGAGCATGGAACGTGCTTAGGATTGCTGTTTCTCCAGTTGAGTCACTTCCTTTCTCACCCGTGCAGATGACCTATTCTGAGAGTGATCCTGGCAAGAACCAGACCATCGCCGATGGGTTCATCCTGGTGGGGTTTTCCTTCCTTCATGAGAAGCAAATTATTCTGTTTCTAGTGATTCTGGTCCTCTACCTAGTCATCGTCATGGGGAACCTGTTTGTTATCCTCCTGATAAAGCTCAACCCTTCCCTCCAAATCCCCATGTATTTCTTCCTGGTCAACCTGTCCTTCCTGGACATCGGCTACATCACCAGTGTGATCCCTCAGCTGCTGGTTCATCTGTTGGAGGAGCAAAAAACCATCTCCCTCGTGGGCTGTGCGGTCCAGATGTTTTTCCTCTCCACCATGGACCTCGCAGAATCCTGCCTGCTCACGTCCATGGCCTACGACCGCTACGTGGCCATACACAGCCCCTTGCAATACACGACCATCATGAGCAGCCGGACATGCCTGCTGCTCGCAGGGGCTTCATGGTTCATTGGCATCTTGATGGAAATAATTCACACCACGCGGATCTTCAGCCTGCCCTTCTGCGGCTCCCACCGCATCCACCACTTCTTCTGCGACGTCCCAGCTGTGTTGGACATGGCCTGCGCCAACACATCAAAAAACGATATCATGCTCCTGATTATGGTGTTCATCACGTGTCCTTTTTTGCTGATACTCCTGTCCTACATCTGCATTATCACCACCATCATCAGGCTGCCGTCGGCAGAGGGAAGGCGTAAAGCCTTCTCCACCTGCTCCTCCCATCTCATGGTGGTGACTTTCTATTACGGAGCAGGATATTTTGGCTTCCTGGTGCCCAAATCTACCTCCACTCTGGAGAGAGATCTCATGCTTTCACTTTTTAACACAATTGTTATACCAATGTCACACCTCTTAATTTACACTCTGAGAAACAAAGAGGTGAAGGGAGCTGTTGTCAAAACAGTAGAGAAGAGCATCTTCGCTCACAACTGGAGAAATCAGAGAATGAGAACAAGAGTTAGTTAAACAAGGGGAAGAAGGAAAATTCACAAACATGTTGTTGAATTACTCCCAATGACTCTCACATTTGTAATTGAAATTTTGCCATTTGAAAAATGTTTATCTGCTCTGTTCCTGTCTGGAAGACGAGAAGAGTGGTCTCTCTGTCCTAATTTCTATAACATCCCACAGCCATTATGAATGATTTCCTGTGTCAGTCGCCACTAGATTTTGCAATGCGTAATGTGATCAGGTTACACAACCACTCTGGGAGACGGCTGTGAACTTCCATGGCATTGTGCAAATGCTCAGAGGCCTTTGCTCGCAGAGCTTGGTGTGTCTCATAGAGTCAATGATTAAAAAGAGAGACAGGACGGTTTTAATCATCAAGCCTCATCTCCTGCTTTATCAGGACAGAATTTGACCTGGTGAGTGAGAGAAGCGCTGTATATAATTCATATTACAGCTGTTAAAAGACCAGCTCTGTTCAAACCTCTTAGAACTACAAGAAGTTTGATCCATGGATACAAATGTTGCCACAGAGGCCTATGTATATATCACATCTTTGTAGTATCATAAGATAAATATACGTTTTTATATTCTTATGATGAAATGTGCTATTCTCTTTGCTTCTCTGTCTATATCGCTGTCTACATTGAATAAATACCAAATGAAAAGCCTCTATCCCTGGCTCATTTACGTGACTCTATTTCTTTCCCACCACAAAAAATTCCTAACTGTCAGGGTGGTCAAATATTGGAATAAATTGCCAAGGGAGGTGGTGGAATCTCCCTCTCTGGAGATATTTAAGAACAGGTTGGATAGACATCTGTCAGGGATGGTGTAGACGGAGCTTGGTCCTGCCTTGAGGGCGGGGGGCTGGACTCGATGACCTCTCGAGGTCCCTTCCAGTCCTATTATTCTATGATTCTATGAACATGCTTGGGGTGCATCTATACGAAGCTCAAAATTCCTGGAGAGTCTAAGATGCCATGCCTGGGAGCATATGAAGAGTTTTTTATTTCTCTTTGATCTTGCATGATCTACAAATCAAAAAGGAGTCGTATCAAAAGTGGAAACTTGGTCAGATTCTGAGGGATGAATATAAACAAACAACACAGGAGTGCAGGGGGAAAATTAGAAAGACAGAGGCACAGAAAGCGCTAAATCTAGCTAGAGGTATAAAGGGTGACAAGAAGATGTTCTACAAGTATATTAGGAGCAAGAGGAAGACCAAGGACAGGGTTGGCCTATTGCTCAGTGAGGAGGGAGAAACAACAACAGGTAATTGGGAGTCTCAGAGTGACGGGTCTGGGGGCACCTTTACTCAGGGGCCTGAGTGTCACACTCACAGGTTGGAGGGGCTGCGGGAACCCCAGCCGGAGCGGTGGGGGGACCCCGGTCCCACCGTGACTGCAAGCCGGCTTAGGCAGAGCAGCTGCCCAGGGCGGTTGCAAACCTCTCAACCAGATGCCCAGGCACCTGGCCCTCCTCCTCCACCTAACTGAGCTGGGCATTGTTTCTTCTCTGGGTTCTCTACCTTTCTAACTTCCTTCCTCCTACCTCCAGGGATATTTCCCTACTCCGCTGTAAGTCACTGAAATGCTATTCAATTCAACTGATTGGCTTAACTGCCTGAAGGTTGTTAAGCCAAGTAAGTTGACCATTTCAGGTGAATGGCTCCTTAAGAGCCACCTGGGGAGACACTTGGCAACCCTTTTGAAACGTAACGGCGACCCATATCTGGGTCCCGACCCATAGGTTGGGAAACCCTGGTCTAGACAGTACTGGGCCCTGCCGTGAGGGCAGGGGACTGGGCTCAATGACCTCTCGAGATCTCTGGCAGTCTGTGATGTGGCACCCATGCCCGTGCACTCCGGCGAGTCCGGCACCGGCGCTGTGGGTAGAAAAGACCCTGCAGCGGTGCTGGTGCTGCGCATGCTCCCTGGTGTCCAGGGAGCTTAATGTCGGCCCAGTGTCAGGGGAGGGGGCAGAGGGCGGGAGCACATCGTCGCCATCCCCATGCATGGGTGGTGTCTCAGGGGGAGGTTTAAACCCACTGGGCCCATTGGAAAGGGGGCTGCTGGAAAACGCCGCACACTGTGCTGAGCCCGGGTGTAGCACAGTGTGGAGAGAGCCTCCTACGGGTGGGCTCCATTGGCGACCCCATGGGGAAGGTGGACAGGGTCCAAGGCACTCCTGCTCAGGGCCTGCCATGAAGCGACAGCCCCAGGAGGGGACTTTTTGGTGGCTGCGTGGACTTGGCACCTTCCCGGGCAGTGCAGGCTGCAAGTCACTGACCGGGAGGCCCACTGCAAGGGGGGTAGGAAATAGCCCAGGGCGGGGCCTTGGATAGTGTCAAGTTTCAGGCCCTGTGCTGGGACCCAGTAGAGGGGGAAGGTCTGGGTCCCCCACCTCTCTGACGGCATTGTCTTGGTTGTTCAGAACCAATAGGACCTGACCAGCATTGCTGACTATAAAACTGCACCCCCTTGAGGGGAGATTTTGGAGGTTTCTTGGGTGAACGGGGCTACTCACCAGGGTGATGCTAATGGGAAGGGGTAGGTTTAGAAGTTAAAATAAAAGAACAAGATAAAAATGACTTAGAAAAGTGAGATGCCTGCAAGTCACCAGGACCTGATGAAATGCATCCTAGAATCCTCAAGGAGCTGATAGAGGAGGCATCTGAGCCTCTAGCTATCATCTTTGGAAAATTATGGAAGTCGGGAGAGATTCCAGAAGACTGGAAAAGGGGAGATATAGTGCCCATCTATAACAAGGGAAATAAGAACAACCCAGGAAACTACCGACCGGTTGGTTTAACTTCAGTGCCAGGAAAGATAATGGAGCAAGGAATGAAGAAAATCATCTGCAAACACCTGGAAGATAGCTTGAGGGGGTTGCCAAGTTAGTCTGTACAGAAAAAATAACAAATGGTCTGGTAGCACTTTATAGACTAACGAAACATGTCCATGGGATCATGAGCTTTTGTGGGCACAGCCCACTTCTTCAGATGACCGGAGTTATGAGTTTACAGACCCAACATAAATAGGAGAGAAGGGCGGGGCGGGGGGCAGGATGAAAAAAAGGAGGGGTGGGAGACAGGGAGCAGAGGGTATAGAAAATAAGGAAGGTAGAGGGAATCAGTAAGTAGCTGAAGATTGGGTAGTTAAAACAAAGCAGATAAGAATCAAAGTCAATTGATAGTATCTTTCCTGACATAGGAATGTACAAGGAGAGCTGTTTGCACCTTCATTGACTGTTAGGTAGGTAGTGTCCCAACGATCCTTCATCACGATTGAGTCCATTAGCATGAGAATTGAATTTGCGGATGAACTCTAATTCCAGTGCTTCTCTGTGTATTTGGCAAGTAGAATTGGTTTGTGTCAAGACAGCCACTTGAAGATCTTTTAGACAGTGATTAGGGAGATTAAAGTGTTCCCCAACAGACTTCCCACTTCCTGCGGAAACTACAAAACATCAGTGATCTTCTTGAAAATACCATCCTGGCCACCATGGACGTAGAAGCCCTTTACACCGACATTCCACTTGAAGATGGATTACAGGCCATCAGGAACACCAGCCCCAATAACAGCACTGCATACCTCATTACAGAGCTCTGTGACTTTGTCCTCACCCACACCTACTTCCAATTCGGAGACAATTTCTATCTCCAAGTCAGCAGCACTGCCACGGGCACTCGCATGGCTCCACAATATGCCAACATCTTTATGGCTGACCTTGAACAACGTTTCCTCAGCTCTTGTCCCTAACATCACTGTAGCCAACAACATAAGCTACCAAATCAAAAAATCATTTGACTGCACATCCAGTAATTTGGTCCATGCCATCAAATGCCAGTAGTGCCCCACTGCTATATACATTGGACAAACTGGACAGTCTCTGCGAGAAAGAATCAATGGACACAAATCAGATATACTTAAAGGAAACATACAGAAACTTACTGGAGAACACTTTAATCTTCCTAATCACTGTTTAAAAGATCTTCAAGTGGCTGTCTTGTCACAAACCCAATTCTACTACCCAGATACACAGAGAAGCACTAGAATTCCAGTTTGTCCAATGTATATAGCTGTGGGGCACTACTGGAATTTGATGGCATAGATCAAATTACTAGATGTATAGTGAAATGACTCTTTGATTTTGTGGCTTATGTTGTTTGCTCCAGTGATGAATTCATCAGTGTAGATATGTGGGCAGAGTAAGCGACTGCCAGCAAGGAGTCCTGCAGAAAGGGATCTAGGGGTCAGAGTGGATGCGGCGTACCTAGACTTTAGTAAGGCATTTGACATGGTCTTGCATAACTTTCTCATCTTGGTGCCCATCAACCCTGACCCTGCCACTATGTGACCCCAGCCCTGGGACACACCAAACAGCCTCGCCAGTGCCCATCCATCCTGCCCAACGCTCCTGTGCTACCCCGGCCCTGAGCTCCAACCACCCATTGCCTCGGGTATTGTTCCTGCCCAGGGCTCTGTGTGTTGGTTTGTCTGGGACAGAGCTCTCCTTTTTCTGGACTGCAGTGTCCCACTGTTTGTCACAGCCAGGAAATCCCATTGCAATTGTCAGCGAGAAAAAAACCTAGACGAGGCTGGTACAACCTCCTGTGGTGTGACGGAGGCAGTGAGTGTTGCTTTGCTGCCGTTCCAGGCCGGGCGGCTCTTCCTCTGGGGATTATTCCCAGCAATTTCCTGGGGACTTGCTCCCAGAAGCCGGGGAAGGGAATAAAAGCTCCTCTGTTCCCTTCAGCTGATCCAGCATCTCCAGCTAGGGGAGGGAGCTGCCATTCTCAAACCTGGGAGTCGATACATGAATGACCGAAGCTCCCAGCCCTTATCCCTCTTAAGGGGGGTGTGTGTTTTGCCTCAGTCTGCAAAGGGGAGAGAGGGAATCATGGCTTTGCTTAATTAATTTCAATTTTCTATATGTGGCAAAGAATCTTAGATGTGAATGCAGGCGTAACTCACAGACTAAAACACACATCTGTCTGTCTGTCTGTCCCTATC